TTGGAGGACCTGCAGCGGGCGTGCCGCGGCTATCGGGAGGCGGCTGGATTGGGCTGGGACGACTTCCATCCCCGATGGATCTTGCAGTTGCCTGTGGACTTCCAGCTCCGGCTGCTGGACATCATCGTAGCCTACGACTGCCACCCCGTCATCCTCGATGATCTTCTCTCCACGTTGGTTTTTCTGCCTAAGCCAGACGGGGGTCTCCGACCGATCGGATTGCTTTGCTTGGTGACCAAGCTGTGGAGCAAGATGCGCTCCCCGATCTGCCAGCAATGGGAACGTAGATTCCAGGAGGATTTCTTCTGGGGCACGTCTCGAGCCACCTCATGTGAGAAAGCCGCGTGGGTACACAATGCCTACGCCGCTTTCGGTCGAGCAGTCGGCTTCCATTGCGCGACGGCTCTCTTGGACCTGTCCAAGTTCTACGAGCACGTCAGGTGGAGGGACCTGTACGACGCCGCCCTGGAGTTCCAGTTTCCGGTGCGGCTGCTGAAGGGCCTCTGCATGTTGTACAGCGGGCCCCGCCGCGTCTTGTATGGGGGCGCTGTGTCTGGGACCATGCGGGCCAATGGCTCCATAATTGCTGGATGCTCGGCAGCCACGACTCTCGCGAAGCTGGTCCTCCTCCGGCCGCTCCGCGCTGCACGAGCTGGTCGGCTTGGCCTGCAGATCCGGAACGTCGTGGACGACGTGGTGCTGCAGGCGACGGGGCGCCAGGACATGGTCGTCGCAAGCCTGGGGGGCGGTGTCGAATCTCTCCTGGGTTCCTTCAGGGGCCTCTCGCTGCCCGTGAACATCGGCAAGTGCAGGTACTTGGCCAGCTCCCGCGAGTTGGCCTCTGCCCTCGATGCGGCGTGGAGCTTGCCAGCGCGGACCAGGGTAGATGGGGCTAAAAGCCTGGGCGGTGACATCACCATGGGGGCGCTGCGACGCGTTGCGGCGACCAGTGTGCGCCAGGCTGCAGCCCGACGACGCGGTCATCGTTATGCCATTCTTCGCGAAGCTGGAGCTGACGTCACCATGGCTCATCGCCTCGGGGCTACATCTTCTGGATTATGGGGCGGGGCCGTCATGGGCCTCCCGCCGTCCCAGCTCCACGGCCTGAGGGTGAGTGCGGTCACCAGCATGGGTCGGCTGCCCAAGGGCGCCAGCGTGGGGCTCCGTCTTCACTCGTACCGCAGTGGAAGCCGCGTGGACCCGCTCGTGCTGAACACGGCGGAGGTGCTCCAGCAGTGGTGCGAGGCGGTGTGGTCTGGAGCAGTGGCAGCCAGGGCATTGCAGGTGACATTGGAGCACGGCCAGCGGAAGCTCGCAACTTCGAAGTCCCCCTGGCGGGTGGCGTGCTCTCCAGCAGACGTCCTGGTCCTCACCCTAGACCGCGTTGGTTGGAAGATGGTCAGCAGCACCGTCGTCCGGACCGACACGGCTGAGCAGTACGATCTCCATCGCACTTCGCCGCACCAGCTCAGGGCCCTGGTGGAGGCTGCTGCTGTCCGGGCCTCTGACAGAATGGCCCTCTGCAGGGTCGGGTCGGGCGTCGCGGCCGCGGCCGCAGGGGGCGAGGCTGGTGGGCCAGATCATCCGGGTGCTCTTCCAGTGTTTTGGAGCGGTCTCAGGCCACTCCTTCAGCGCGTGACCTCAGTCTGGACGCAGCGTCAGCAGCGGGCTCTGAGGGCCGGCATCTGCAACACCATCTGGAGCCAGGCCCGCTTGCTTGGCCACGGCCTCGTGCAGGATGGCCTTTGCACGCGTTGCCGGAGCGGCCTCGGCACGGTGTGGCATCGCTGCTACGAGTGCCCGGCGCACCAACAGTTGCGACGAGAGCGGGTTGGAGCACGCCATCTGCTCCGGGCTGCCCGCGTGCGCGAGTGGAGCGTGGAAGGCGCAGAAAGGTTTGCACTTGATTTCGTGGGTCAACCGTCCAGCCGATGGATTGCTGCATGGGCCGTTGTTCACAGACGGCAGCGCGTTCCATATGGAGATCCCTGAGTTGGCCCGCGCTGGCTGGGCGGTTATCCAGGTCGATCGGTTCGGACGCACGGTGTCTGCCGCCTACGGGCCAGTCCCTTTATGGGCTGGCCCGCGGCAGACTTCTAGAGACGGAGAGGATTTCGCCATCTTCATGCTCTGCGACCTCGTCTGGCCAGGCACCCATGACGTTTACATCGACTGCCAAGGGACCGTCGACACGTTGCAGGGCGGGCCTGGGGCTGGTGCCAGGCCGCAGGACCAACGACCTCATCTATGGGGCCGAGTGTGGGGACATTTCAGCTTAGGGGACCTGATAGCTCACAAGACTCTTGGGCATGCCACGTCCGCTGATGTCGACGCGGGGAGGTCCACGCACTGGGAGCGGGAGGCCAACGATGCCGTGGACCACTTTGCTAAACTCGGGGCCCACATGCACACGGGCATCACGGGCAGGGAGGTCCACCTGTGGAAGGGCTTTGAGGAGCTGGCTCGCGAGAGTGCCCGCTGGTTCGGCGAGCTGCAGGGCGTCATGGTGGACAACGGCATGAACGACTACGAGGACGTGCTGGGCCCTGCCAGTTCCCCACCAGCGCTCCCTGCAGGAGGGGCCCTCAGTGGAGCGGCGGGCGCGGATGCGCCGCCCGCCATTCCGGCCGCTGCCGCTGGCGCTTCCGAGTCGACCGTCGGCGGCCAGACCGACGCGGCAGACTGCCTGCGCCTGGGCAGCCAGAGTGAGCTTGAACTAGAATTCGTATGGGACGGGTCGTGGAGCCAATACTGTGGAGTAGCTCTGCGCCTCGGCGGGCATGCACTTTTATGTGCCCACATAGTTGAGCGCCCTGCCGAGACTTTCACATTTTGTTTTCGATGCGGAGTTTTTTTTTCTGCCCTTATGCCCAGTGCTAAGATGCTGGGGCCGTGCCGCGGGGCTCAGGCAGGGCCGCGCTATCGTGAGCAGCTGCGCCGCCTTGCTGAGGGCAGGTTCCCTAGCAATAGGGCTCGCACCAAGGATCTGCACATAGGGGCCCCTGTTGGTATCGGCAGGGCTACGGCCAACAAGCTACGTAGCACTTGGGAGCCGCAGCGGGCTGAACCACCGAACGAAGAGGTGCATGAGGCGCCGGGGGCCGATGCTGCCCCGGCGGCTCTCCCGAGCCAGACGGAGCAGCGCCAAATAGTGCTCCGCTGCTTCGGGCTTGTTGAATCTGATTTAGACTGGGTGGCAGAGTTTGGGCGAATCTCCACTGAGAGAGGCCGCAGAGCTGACAGTGACGGAGATTCCTGGGAGGATGAAGCCTCCGAGCCTGATTGAGGCTTGTGTTCTTGGACTGTCCTGGAGACCACACGCAACAAAACGTCACTCGCATCAGCAGTATCATCATCATCATCATCATCATCATCATCATCATCATCATCATCATCAGCAGCAGCAGCAGCAGCAGCATCATCATCATCATCATCGTCAGCATCATCATCATCATCATCAGCATCATCATCATCATCATCATCATCATCATCATCACTACAACCAACATCATGATCAGGAACAACACCGTCCTCCCCGTCGTCGTCATCAGAATGAACAACAGTACCATCATCAGTATAACCGTCATCGGTATTGGTATCGTCGTCGTCAGCCTCATCATCATCATAACCACCGTCATCAATACAATCATGGACATCATCACAACCATCGTTGCCGCCATCACCAGCCGCATCAGCATCATCAGTGTCGCCATCTTCATCACCGATCGCTACTACCACCAGCACCATCATCGTCACGGTCATCGTCATCCTGCTCGTCGTCGGAGTCACCATCCCTGTAATCATCACGACAATAATCCCAACCTGTCTTTCCCACACGCACACACACACTGTTTCTCAAACGAACCGGTGGGAGCGTGAACAAAGCGATGAGCCCACAGAGGGAGATGGGCATAGCCGACCAGCGGGCAACAAAAATCCCATGCGTCAAGGAAAAGACCGAGGGGAACAACACAAACGAAAATACTGCTGGACCAAGGACATAATCACATCCCTCAAGAGCATGAGATTCCCCGCTGGCCAAAATATCCCTAAGCATAATATCACTCGAGGGCACCCCTCCACAGGATACAGAAGAACATTCGACACACACTGAGCACACGAGGGTGCCCTCCCCGAGCCGACCTCGACCTCATACCTCGGCCCAAGCGAACCGAGCCAGGGAGGCGGAAGGAAGACGGCCAACGGCGAGCCGAGACAGCGCCGCGGGGGGGTCCCGGGAGGCATGCGCCATGCGACAGATTTAGGTCGGGCCTGTCCCCCTACAGGGGGATTTTGGACGAACAAAAAATGAAAAATACTCCAAACATACCCCCAAAAGGTCAAAACATAATCGAAAAATAGTCCCCGGACTATTTCTTGACTATTTTCGAGTATTCCTCCTGTAGAGGGACAGGCCCGACTTAAGACCAAATGGATCGGCAGACGGACCGTGGCAGCAGAGATGCAGTAAGGGCCCGACAACAGGAAACCTCCCGCAAGAAGCCCAACCCCGGCCCAACCCCGAGACCACAGGACGTCCATCTATGTTTGGCGTGGGGGGCGTCACGCTTTCCACTGCGGCACCATCGAAACCCAAGAAACCCAGGGCACCCTGGAGGCAAGCAGGGTGCTTATTGGCATGGGCCCCCACTGTAAGGATAGGCCAATGCAAGACCTGTGCTGACACCCGCCGCCGCCGCGCGCGACGCGCCGGCGGCCACCGTGGGGTTGCAGCACGGGCGGCGTCGGGCGGCACGGGATGTGGTGATGGGCACGCGGCAGAAAGAAGGCGGACACGCGGGAGGCAACACCGCATCCCGAGGCCAGAAAAAGCGTGCGATAGATTCGAACCTCGAGGAGCCCCCATCGACGGCCAACGCCTTACCGATGTCTCCGCTCGCCCTCCTCTGACTCTCGCTGCCCCCCCCCGCCCTCCCGGCTGGGAAGGCTCTGGCAAGCTCCGGCAGTGTCCCCCCAGCAGACCCTCGGAAGGCAGGCGCGCTCCTGGCGTACGCCGCCCAGGCGGCGCGCACGGCCTGCCAGCCCAGCCTGCGGGAGGGGAGGGGTCGGAAGCGCAGAGTCCCACCCCTCCCTCCCTCCCTCCCTCCTCCCTCCTCCCTCCTCCCTCCTCCTTCCTCCCTCCTCCCTCCTCTTTCCCTCCTCCTTCCCTCCACCTTCCCTCCTTCCTCCCTCCTCCCTCACTCCTCCCTCCCTCCTTCCTCATCCTCCTCCTCCTCCTGATCCTCCTCCTCCTCCTCCTCCTCCTGATCCTCCTCCTCCTCCTCCTCCTCCTGATCCTCCTGATCCTCCTCCTCCTCCTGATCCTCCCCTCCTCCTGATCCTTCTCCTCCTCCTTCTCCTCATCCTGATCCTCCTCCTCCGGATCCTCCTCCTCCTCCTCCTCCTGATTTTCCTGATCCTCCTCCTCCTGATCCTCCTGATCTTTCTCCTCCTCCTCCTTCTCCTCCTCCACTTCCTGATCCTCCTGCTCCTCTTCCTCTTCGGCCTGTTCCTCCTCCTCTTCCTCCTCATCATCTTCCTCCTCCTCCTCCTCCCGCCTCCTCCCTCGCACACCCCATGCCTGCTCGCTCCTCCATCCAACCCCTTCCAATCCACCAGCCCTCCTCCACCTCCGTATTGTCCTTCTCCGTTTTACCACAAGCTGTATTGTGAATAAACATATAGATTGCTAGTACCCGTGTTGCCAGCATTCGTATCATAATTAGCCTTGGTATTACTAATACGAGTAATAACAGTACTCGAGTAATATATCACGAATCATACGGGTAATACTATTACAAGTCTCGGTAGTACGACTATGAGTAATACGAGTACGCTTAGTCGAACTGCTCACATTAATTGGTGCTATCATTCGAAGTATGCTAGTTGTATCTAAACTAGTGGTAGTGGTATTAGAAATAGTGGTAGTAGTTCGTATTACATGGTGTTATCATTCGTGTATCATTCTTAGTTGGTGATTCCTGGTTTGATTAAAAGGAGTCGTAGTAGTAGTAGTAGTAGTAGTAATAGTAGTAGTAGTAGTAGTAGTAGTAGTAGTAGTAGTAGTAGTAGTAGTAATAGTAGTAGTAGTAGTAGTAGTAGTAGTAGTAGTAGTAGTAGTAGGAGTAGCAGTAGTAGTAGTAGTAGTAGTAGTAGTAGTAGTCGTAGTAGTAGTAGTAGTAGTAATAGTGGTAGTGGTAGTGATAGTGGTAGTGGTAGTGGTAGTGGTAGTAGTAGTAGTCGCCGTAGCAGTAGTAGTAGTAGTAGTAGTAGTAGTAGTAGTAGTAGTAGTATTGAACAATAGTACTACCATTCGTACCAGTGATATTCTCCTCAATGTATCATTCGTAATCTGGCTAGTATCCGTAATCCTACTACTAGTATAGCTGTCTACCAATAGCAGTACTATCCCTAGTATTAGCGACCACGCTTATTATCAGTAGTAGTAGTAATACAAAGAATGAATGACGATACTCGCAACACTTAGCCGTCATACCATCATTTGTATCAGTGGTGTTCGCATGCGCCGTGTTAGTATCAAGAGTGAAGCTGCTACTACACATAGCACTGCTGATAGCAGGATTACCATCCTTACTATGAATAAGTTGATTAGTATTCGCATGAGTAGTATCTTAGGTCTTAGCGTTCGTAGTATACTGGAAATTATTCATATGCGTATAAGTATTACCCATGGTATTGTGATTATCACAGCCAACCTCAGTACGAGTTAGACTCGTATCACTGGTCTGTATGTCATCCTCCTTATTACTGTAAGTATCATTCATATCTGTATGAATCGCTTCTTGTTATTGTCCTCCTGCTTCTCATCCTCCTCCTCCGCCTCCACATCCTCCTCCTCACTGCTTCCTCCTCACTGCCTACTTCTCCTCACTGCATCCTTCTCCTCGTCCTGCCTTAGCCCATTCCTCCTCCTCCTCCTCCTATCCCTCGCCTTCTCATCCTCACCGCCTCCTTCTGGCCTTCCTCCATCCCTTCCTTCCATTCCTAGTCCTCATCCCTTCTTCTGTTCCCCTAGCTGTCTGCATACTCCTCATCATCGTTCTAACTTGACCTCCTTATACTCCGCTCCTCCTCCATCCCTCTTCCGTCACTTTAGTAACTCCCCTCCTGTCACACCGCCAGGCGTGCCCGTTGGCCGGGCCAGGCGTGTCACTCGAGATGTCCATTATGTACCCTACATGCTCAAAGTGCAAGGTGGTACACTACTGGAGGCCACGTCGTGTTCAACATGTGATTCTCGCCTGAGCACAGGCCATATTCGTTTGTTTTATAAAAACCTTGCAGCAACTACATGGAGGAATGTCGGTTTCAAAAAATTAGTGATCGCCGTAGCGCCGAGCGCATTCGCCATAGAAGGACGCACCAGTTGTAAGGATGGATGTAGGATGTAAGGATGGAGGGCGGCACCAGTTGTAAGGATGGAAACCATCGAACGGCTCCATTTCAGAATCGTGCTCTCGCTTGACATTTCCTCACACTGAATACAGCTCGACCTGGGACAGAAGAACATCCCTCAAGAGCATGAGACTCTCCGCCGGTCAAACTACAAGAGCATTCGACGGCACGTTCCCACCAGGATGAACAAGAATATCCAGCAAACACGAATATCATTAGGATACCTTCCCCGAACCACCCTCGATCTTACACCTCGGTCCGACTGTCACCACTCAGACGGATACCGTGCAACAGCTGCACGGACGCAAGGCGCCTCCTTTCCAAATTGGGGCTCTCGCCTGAGGCCCCCGTAGCAAGACGAGCACAAATGTAGAGCACATGCACCTGCTACATGCGTGGTGTGGTGGTTCCTTCTTAGGACGAAAACCTCGCTAGACATCTCATTGAACGGCATGGTCCTACCATCTGCTGATCCAACCCGTTACATGGATAGACGGCAGCTCCTTTTCAAGACTGCGCTCTTGCCTGGATGGCAGGCCAGTAGTGTGTTCTTGTTTCAACTGGGCACGTCTTGCAGTGAAGAGGAAGGCTTATAAGAACTGAAATGGGGGGCTGATGACGGCAGGGTGTCTTGCAGCATGTTCAAAGCATCGAGGTGTGCTGTGATGTTCCTTCCCCTGCTGCTGCTGGTTCTCCTGCTCCTCCTTCCCATCCTCCTCGCTCACGACACCACCACCACCACTGTCACCATCAGTTATCTAGTTGTCATGCTCACCACCACCACCACCATCATCATCATCACCATCATCATCAGAATCATCACCATCATCATCATCATCAGCAGCAGCAGCATCATCATCATCATCATCATCATCATCATCATCATCATAATCATCATCACCGTCATCATCATCATCGTCCTCATCATCATCATCATCATCATCATCATCAGCATCCTCATCATCATCATCATCATCAGCATCATCATCATCATCATCATCATCAGCATCATCAGCATCATCATCATCATCATCATCATCATCATCAGCATCATCATCATCATCAGCAGCAGCAGCAGCAACAGTATCATCATCAGCATCATCATCATCAGCATCCACAGCATCATCAGCATCAGCATCATCACCACCACCACCATCATCATCGGCATCATCATCACCACCACCATCATCAATCATCATCATCATCATCAGCATCACCATCATCAGCATCATCGTCATCAACCTCGCCAGCATCATCATCGGCATCCTCGACATCAGCATCATCATCAGCAGCAACATCAGCATCGTCATCATCATCATCAGCATCATCATCAGCATCATCACCACCACCACCATGTTAAGCATCCCCATCGTGGTCGGTCGTCATCAGCATAATCATCATCAACAACACGACCTCCCACCCACCTCCAGCCCCCCCCTCTCCACGCTCGCTATTTGAAGGTATCCGCTCTTGCAACAAAGAAGAGGAGAAGTAGGCGCGCCAGAGCGGTCGGCCGACCCGTACTGTCGAGCTGGTGAGGACAGCGGCGGTGGCCTCGGCGGCGGTGGCCTCGTCCTGCTTCTTCGTCCTCCCGCTACTTGCTGAATTCCTCCTTCCTCCTGCCTCCTTCCCCCTTGCTACGTGTTCCCTGCTCCTCCTTCCTCCCCCCCCCCTGCACCCTCCTTCCTCCTCCCTCCTCCTCCTACCCTCTTCTCCTCTTTTTCCTCCTCCTCCTCCTCCTCCTCCTCCTCCTCCTCCTCCTCCTCCTCCTCCTCCTCCTCCTCCTCCTCCTCCTCCTCCTCCTCATCATCATCCTCCTCCTCCTCCGCATTCTTCCTCCCCCCCCCCCCTGCACCCTCCTTCCTCCTTCCTCCTCCTAATCCTCCTACCCCTCCTCCTCTCCTCCTCCTCCTCCTCCTCCTCCTCCTCCTCCTCCATCTCCTCCTCCTCCTCTTCCTCCTCCTCCTCCTCCTCCCTTCTCCTCCTCCTCCCCCCTCCCTCTCCTCCCCTCCTCGCCCTCCTCCTCCTCCTCCTCCTCCTCCTCCTCCTCCTCCTCCTCCTCCTCCTCCTCCTCCTCCTCCGCCTCCTCCTCCTCCTCATCCTCCTCCTGCTCCGCCTCCTACTCCTCCCTCTCCTCACGTCTCCTCCCCCTCCTCCTCCTCCTCCTCCTCCTCTTATTCCTCCTGCTCCTCCTCCTCTTCCTCCTCCTCCTCCTCATCCTCCTCCTCCCTATCCTCGTCTTCCTCTTTCTCCTCCTCCTCTCCTCCTCCTCCTCCTCCTCCTCCTCCTCCTCCTCCTCCTCCTCCTCCTCCATTCCTTCTCCTCATGCGCGACTTTTCCATGTCGCACCCCGAGGCCAATTTCTAGGGCAGGCTGGGCGTTTCGCGTGAGACGTCTTCGCCACTTATGAACCTGAAGCCTAAGAATTGGCAACAACTTCGTAGATGGAGGGCGGGTCGCTCTCAAAATGTGGCTCTCGCATTGGCGCCGCGCACCTTCGTTTCAAAACCATGGCAAGGATGTCACGGATTGAGGGCGGGCCGTTCTCTAGATGTGATTCTCGCATTGGCGCCGCGCAGATTCGTTATGAACATGCGCAAAACAAAAACGTCACGGATTGAGAGCGGATCCTTTTCAAAGCGAAGCTCTCGCAGTAGCGCCGCGTACATTCGTTGAGAAGTACAAGAGTTTCACGGACTCCTATGATCAACGTACCAGGCAGTGTGTTTTGGAAGGGTTCCGGATTATGAGGGCGCAACAGTTACGTTGATTCGCGGCGTTGAAATCCCAAGAATGACGTTCTGGCACGTTTCAGGATCGCCTAGACGCAAACGTCAGCTTGATCCGCGGCTTTGAAATCCCGAGAAAAATGTTTGGGCATGCTTAAGGGTTTTCAAACGGTTGTCTTCCAACGAAGGAGGCAAATCCCTCAGTGGAACTGAACCGTGACAAGGGCCTATGAAGCGTTTTCTTGGCGGGAGGCTTGATTCCAACATCCGCCTCTGCCTCCGTCTCCGCCTCCTCCTCCTCATCCGCCTCCTCCTCCTCATCATCATCCTCTTCCTCCTCCTCCTCCTCCTCCTCCTCCTCCTCCTCCTCCTCTTCCTCCATTCCTTTGCCTTATACAAGGCTTCTCCTTGTCGCAGCCCGAGGCCAATTTCTGGGGCGGTCCAGGCGTTTCGCGTGAGACTTCCTCGCCCCTTATGAACTTGACGCTAAAAAATTGAAAACAACTTCACAAATGAAGGGCGAGCCGTCTTCAAAATGTGGCTCTCGCATTGGCGCCGCGCACATTCGGATTAAGGGCGGGCCCTTTTCAAAGTGAAGCTCTCGCCGTAGCGCCGCGCGCAGCGTCCTCCTCCTTCTCCTCATTATCCTCCTCCTCTTTCTCCTCCTCTTTCTCCTCCTCCTCTTCCTCCTCCTCCTCCTCCTCCTCCTCCCTCCTTTCTGACCATCCTCCCCCGCCTCCTCTTCCTGTCGTCCTCCCCCACCCTCCGCATACGCCGACGCCTACGAATTGGCCACGGCGCTGCGGAGCGAGGCTCCGTAGGTGAGGCGGGCTGGACGGGTGTGAGCACTTCTGAACCTGGACATCCTGCTCGGGTTTCTGTCCCTCCCAGGGGCCGTTCGCCAAACTCGACGCAACGATTATCGCAGACCTCGTGTGGAACATGGTACGGGCATACTTGCGAATGCTAGGGACACTCATAATACGATTAGAAACAATAATAACTACAACACCAATGAAACGACTACACTCAGCTTGTATGAATGGACAGAACGACGATAACAGAAACTACCAATATTACGAATGGTAAAACTAATACTACAACTGCTATTCACAACACTATCAATAGTGTAGGTAATAATGACGACAGTGACACTGCGAATAGGGATAGCAACCATGATAAGAGTAATAAGTTCAGGAACGGCAAGTATGATAGTAATGACTATAAACATACACACGAAGGACTTCGCGAAACGCTGGATACATCGAAGCGGATTCGGCGGCAGGCCCGCGAGGATAGGCACCTACACTACGCATGATAAGCAGCTGAGTGCCCAGAGGGGCGCCGGGCAAAGGTGCCTGCCGCCGATGTTGGTGGGGGGGGGGGAAATCCCCGAAATCATGAGCAACATACAACGCCAAGGGTAACACAAGGGGCAGGCAACTGGAGTACCGAACAAACGCGTGCAACAATGGCAAATCTAGCAGGCTGCTGCCTGCCACGGTTGTCGGCACAGCTCCCTCTGTCCAAGACTGGTAAACAAGGTTGCTAGGCAACAATGCCAAAAGTAGTGCCGTTTGGTGTCGTTCTCACCCCCCCATCCCCCGTCCCGTACAACCGCCCGTACCCACCAACGCTACACAAGACAATCAGTCGCCAAGGTGTAGTGCGCGGCATGGGAAAGATCAAAGCAGAGCAAGCGATCTAAGTGTGGCACAGCGGCAAAGCTAGGCGGAGTAAAGTGAACTACTGGGCGTGCTGCTGTCGGGATGCACCGTGAGAAGAATTATGGGGCCCTTCCCCGGGATGCCACTATGGCAGCAAACACCAAACAGCAGTAACGCAGGAAAGGGCATGCGCTGCGAGGAAACGAAGGCACTGCAGGTGCGGTTCCTTGGGTGGCGCAGAGTCTTTGAGTAGGGAGGCCTGCACACACGGACCCAAGGTGGGGTGCCGCCGAAAACGTCCTCGCTTCCACATGTCGTCCATACCTCCACCGCCCCAACGGTGAGCAAAGCTGGCGAAAACGCTGGCCTGGTAGCGGGCACGTAAGCACGCAGTGCTGGTAGGGTTGGCTGCGTTTGTGAAATGACCAGGGTGCGTGCGAGTTGCTCGAAACTTGGAATGTAATGTCCTGGACACGATGTGTGTTAGCCGAACGGTCGAGTTAAAACTGCAAAACACTGACCTACTGGCCAGGTCAGTAATGACTGGCCTTTGGTAGGATGTGGATATGTGCTTGAACGCTGCTGCGAGCAGCTGCTATTTGGCGACTGACACAAACGATTTCATGGCATAAGAGTATAGCTGGCTGTGTAGTGCGACTGGCGCAAATGGTGCTGGCTGGCCTGCGGCCATGTCAGTACGTGTATCGCGTGGTACTGGGAAATTGAAGGCACAGGAACTGCAATGAGTAGGATGCTCGGACTACTGCTGTGCGATCAGCGTCTGACAAGCCGAAGGTTGCGGGGCCACACCCTATAATGGATACCCGATATCGTGTCGCGTGCCCCTGACCCCCCCGATGGTCGAACTCCCGGTTTGCAGCCGTCCCTCCTCCCCGTCCTACCCGTTACCCTCCCCAACCGATCCGCGATCCCCGCTCGTCACCCGCATCCTCCTCACCATCATCCTCATCACCCACACCATGATCAGTATCATCATCAGATTCGTCACCGAAATCACCGTCATCCACATCAGCCGCATCATTACCAACAGCGCCATAATCGTCACCACTGGACGCAGCAACGCCCTCATCACCACCGCCGCCATCATCGTCACAACCGCCCATCACCAACATTAGCTTCAGCAGTATCATCATCGCCACCACCATCACCATCACCATCACCAGCAGCATCCGCAACGACATCAACATCACCGTCATCATCACCGCCGCGGTCAACTGCAACAGCAGGAAGAGCAGCACCCTTCTCATCACCATCATAGTCCCCATGACCAACATCACTGTTCCATCCTCGTCACCATCATCCCCATCGACACTAAAATCCTCCTCACCATCATAATCATCATCATCCTCATCATCATCATCATCATCAGCATCATCATCACCATCAGCCTCATTAGCATCATCACACCCACTCTCCTTCCCCGTCCGCCCATCATCATCATCACCATCACCATCGCCATCGCCACCATCACAATCGCAATCACAATTTTCCCAGTAGTTCTCTCACCACTCCCTCGAACTCCGCTCAGCAGGGCTGGCGGGAAAGAGAATTGAATATCACGCGCGCTGGAACCTGGACCACCATTCGCCCCCCTCCTCAGGGCGATCCAGCGGCCACGGGCCCGAGACATGGCGACCTCGCGGCCACGGCATCCTGACTGCCAACCGGCTCCTGCGCTGCTGGGAAATACATTCCAGTATGGGGCCCGTAAGGCTCGAGATGGGACCGCAGTGTAGGCCCCGCGCTTCATGCACAAAACGACGGGCAGCCCAGTCTCGATAATTCTACATGCATGAAGTTCATGGGCGGGGGGGGGCGAGACCTCAGTGTACCTGACCTCGAGAAGGGGCCGGCCCCGGGGCCCCGGCCCTGGTGCGCCGTTTTATGTTTTGGAGGGACGAGAAATGACGGAGGACAAAACGAAAATACCCCAAAATTAAATGCACGCGCTGCCACGCGAGCTGGCGGAGCACGCGCAGAAAAAAAACGAGGAATGCCAGAGGGCGGAGAGCAAACTGCCTTGCAACTTTTGCACGCGCTGTCACGCCGGGTGGCGGAGCACCTGCAGGAAGATCGAAGAACGACGGACGAAGGAGGAACACACCCGCGATAGCAAATGCGCGCGCTGACACGCCAGCTGGCGGAGCACGTGCAGGACGAAAGAGCGAGCGAGCGAGCGAGCGAGCGAGCCTCAAGTCTGCAGGTGAGCCACTAGCAGACAGAGCAAATATGGAGCCTGGAACGGCGACCCAACGGCCTGCACAGCAACCGCGGACGTACCGCACACGCGCTGCCGACCGAACGGGAAGGGCCCGACAGGGATCACCCGCTGCACACCATCCGCGCCAGGAGCGCACACGTGGTGACAGCGGGGCCCTGCCAGGCCAGCCTCTCATCCCTTCTTGGACCCGTCCAGGATGGTCCTCTGGGCGCCCAGCTGCTTGCGGTCCTCGAGGAGGTCGCGTAGCTGGCCGAGCTTGAGAAGCGGGAAGATCTTGGCGCCCTGGGTCGGGTTGGAGGACGTCGCCAGGAGCTCCGCGACAAGCGCCGCGTGCTCGGAAGGGACATCCATGGCGTCGGCTCCGCGAGCCGCAGTTGGCTCCGCCGCCGCCGCACTCGCAGGCGCCACGCCGCCATGGACAGCACCAGGGCCCGCGACAGCCTCCGCAGGCGAAGAGCCCGCTCCAGCCGCGCCGCCCTCGTCCGCCGAGACGCCCATGGCGGCCGCAGCTTCAGCTTCAGCTGCGGCCTCGCCCCGCTCCAGAGCCCGCATCCCAGCGAGCCTCGCGCGGCGGCGTTTCCTCCGCTCCACTTGCGCCTCCGCGAGGACACGAGGGCGAGCAGCAGCAGCGGCGGGTCGTTCAGGAGCTCCTTCAGCGTCGTCTCCGGCCGGCATCACGGGGGCCCCAGCGCTCTGGAAGAGCGCCGCTGAGACCGCCGGCCGCGCGACAGCCGCCACGGTGCGCCAAGGAGCGCCAGCAAGCACAGCGCCTCGGACAGCGGCCTCAACCAGCGAGGCAGCCAGGGAGGGCGGCGCGCAAGCCCCTCTAGGCCACGCCATCGCGCGCCGAGGGGCAGCGCGAGCAAGGCCGTGCGATCGCTCGAGCCAAAATGGTGCAGGACGAAAGAGCGGTAACGGAGCACGGAGAGAAAGCAGCCTTGAAACGGCACGCACGCGCTGTCACGCCGGCTGGCGGAGCACGCGCAGGGGGGGCGGGGAAGGACAGAGACAGGAGGCAGAAAGACATATGGAAGAAACAGGAACTCTCTTGAGCCGTCTCGGGCCCTGCTGGGACGTGCCCAGACCTTTCTCGTGTCGTCTCCTCACGCTGGGGCAGCATGCCCATAAATGTACAAAATGCACGCGTGTGCATGGGCATGCGAATCAACATGGAATTCGAAATGGCATTCGAACTGTCACTATGATGTTTGGGGGGCCCTCTGGCTGCAATCAAACGGACGCCCCGAAGGCGCAACTCGACCTGGTCACCGCTTCTACTGCTTCTGGCGCGACTTGCGTAGGAGAGCTTCGGCCTGTTTCTCGAACAAGTCCTTCCAATCCATCCTGACAATCTCGTGGTCGAGCTCGCAGATCTGCGTCAGTTGCGTGGTATCATGCCCTGACAAATCTGGGCGGAGGTGCGCCGTGCGGTCTTCGAAGGCATCTCGAAACTTGGCATCAGTTTTGAGTGAGTATTTCTTCATCGGCTCCATGTCCAAACACTTATTCGGCATGGTGTGGTTCTTGGACATGGCATCATCATTGCGCGCGAGCTGTTGCCGCAACAGCGCTTTCAATCTGCAGCGGTGGTGCTCACGCATGTACTCCCCGAGTGAGTGCCACATGTTGATATAGACAACCTGGTCAGAACTCAATCCTGGCTTGATGTGAACTTCTCGGAGCGGCCCCTGGAAGGTCGGAAAACCAACAACAGACAGCATCATTTTCACAATGTCTCCGTCGTTCCTTGCACCCAGAAAATCCAATATAAAAATATGCCTGCCAAATGCTTGAACATATTTGCTGGCGGAATTCGCATGCGCAAGGCCCATACTTCGGGCAGGCGTCTCCCAATACTCGGCGAACGGTATGCCGTTTGTCGACGAATCGTGAATGGAGAGGAGGTGCTTGCACCAAGCCCACGTCCAACTGAGAAATGGTCGGTGGGTGAGCACCACCTTTATACTAAACTGCAGAAATATAGATTTCAGCGACTGGATTAACTCTGGATACATGTGGCGGGTTCCAGAAAGCCCAAGCCCAAGCCAGAGCGTCTCGGAGCTGACGATCGCGTGCTGGCCATTAGCCACTGCCTCGCTGAGCTTATTCTTGAAGGCTGTCATTATGGCATCGTTTGAGTTGGGATGCGAAAGAAAGTGCTGCGCTGTAGGAATGAACTTCAGATGTTCCTCGTCAGGCGGCACGTAATACATTAGATTTCTCCCGAGGAGCTCGTCACGGTACGTCCAAAGTGCATGTTGGATGTACGTCGTTCCTGTTTTGGGCGACCCGACATGGATCAGAGCGATCGGCCTCTTCAAGGGTCCCGCTGTATGCCTGGTAACCGATGGACTGGTGACCGCCTGGTCTGGGTCCTGGACCAGGGCTCGGGGCCACGGGTGACCTGTTGGACTCCGTCCAAGACTCATCCCCAGAACGCCACCTGCACGGCTCTCAACATCCTCGCCAGCCTCGCTGCTCTCTGCGGACCCTTGAGACTTCTCCACTTCAAACTCCTTCTGGGTAATTTCGAATGACGTTGACTGCTCTTGTTCATCAAGTGGTTTCGCCAACTCGCCCAAGCTCCATCCACCGCAGCCTCGCAGTGCATCCGCCAGCGGCCAAGAAAGGGCAACAATGATCACGAGAAGGATACAAAACCCTGGCGATTGGAACAACAATGCAAGTCTTCTCGGCAGAGTCATGGCTGTCGTTGGCATGCAAGTCATACTGTATTGGCGCCCGCCTGCGGTCATCAGTTCGAGACTTACGCCTTCTCACCTGAAGAGAGCGACGCTTCCTAGAGCCAAGCCGACTTGAGCCAAAATGGCTTGGGCCAAAATTGCTAGATATTGCACACCTCTCAACCAATCAAACCTGCCATCATTGTGATCATCATCATCAGCAGCATCATCATCATCATCATCAGTATCATCATCACAATCACACTCACCAGTCACCATCATCAACATCATCACCATCAGCATCAGCATCAGCATCAACATCATCACCATCAGCATCAGCATCATCAGCAACATACTCATCATCATCGTCATCATCATCATCAGCAGCACCAACATCATCATCATCATCATCATCATCATCATCAGCATCATCAGCATCATCAGCATCATCGTCATCATCATCACCCACCTCCTCCACCTCCTCCACCTCGGCACTCGGCCCCCTCCTCCAAATGACCGGCACCGGCGAATCGGCGGATGTCGCCCCGCCCCCCCCCCCTCCTTCCCGCGGGAAGCGCGCCAAGAGGCCTCCCCGCGAGCGAGCGCCGCTGCCGCAGCAGGAAGACTGCCGCTGGGAGGGGGGAGGGGGCGCCCGAGGCCGCGACAGGGAGGTCCTCTCCGGGAGCCTGCAGGGCGAGCGGCACCTGCGAGGCCGGCATCGGCGGGAGAGGGGGGGTGCGGGAGGGGCGAGTGGAGAGAGAAGAGAAAGGGGTTGGGGAAGAGAAGTGAGAGGACGAAGGATGGGGATGGGAAACGAGAGAGAGAGAGAGAGAGAGGAAAGGTGGGGGGGGCGAGGAGGAGGAGGAGGAGGAGGAGGAGGAGGAGGAGGGAGAACAGAGAGGTGGACAGACAAGCTATGTGCCCTCGCGCCATATCTGACATCCTGCCTCTCCCACCCGTTCCTTTCTATTGCGCAAATGCTATTTTCTTCCATCCGCCGACAAGCGACCTAGCGGACCTGGAATTCACAGAAAGACCCCATCGTGTTGTGCGCAATCGGAAAGGGGGGGCTGCGTTCATAAGAGGAGGAGGAGGAGGAGGAGGAGGAGGAGGAGGAGGAGGAGGAGGTGGCAGGTGGCGGACGAGCAGCAGAAGATGAGGCTGAGGAAAAAGGAGAGGACGAGGACGAATGGCAGCGGCCTGAACTGGAGTGGAAGGAGCGAGAGGAGCAGGAGGGCCAGGGGAAGGCGGAGGAGGGGAAAAGAGGGGGGGACCATGCTGAGGAGGTACTCGGATCCAGAAGAGTGGCCTGCGATGGGGCGAAAGCGCCATTCTGAACGACGGGAGTAACGCCCAGTCATAAAAGTGGTGCTTAAGACGAAGCCAGGACGAGGACCAGTTTGGGTGGGGATCCATAGAGAATCTCTGAGATCCTCCGGTTCTGGAGGATGGCTCGAGCGCCGCGGCCTTCTCACAGCGTTCCGCAACGCCCTGAGTAGAGTAAGAAACAAAAACGCGATATACACGTAAACGTTTGGCGCTCCGTGCATATTTCTTGGATCTGCGCTCGAGTCCCACACCCATCCGAATCTTGAAGGACCGAGACGTTCGGATTGGAGAAGCACGTGAGAAAAGCACAGCGAGAGCCAATCCTGTGACGCCTCGGACCTCGGGGGAGAGGAAGAGAAGCATCTACATGTAACTGGGAATGGGTAATGGTAGCGGACAGAGGAGGGAGGGGAAGGAGGGGGAAGAGGAGGAGGAGGAGGAGGAGGGAGACAAGAGAGGGAGAGGAGAGAGGATGAGGAGTGAAGAGAGGGAGGGAGCAGCGAGGAAAGGAGGAGGTGGGAGAGTGGGCGCAAGGTGTTGAAAGGCTCCATTTCCTTTTCCTTCTCGCCCTCCTCCTCCTTTTCCTTCTCTTCAAAGGGCTGCTGTTCCTGCATATCCTGCGGCTCCTGTTCCTGCTGGTGCTGTGATCCTCCTTCTTCTCCTCGTTCTCATTATCCTGGAAGCTCCTCCTCCTCCTCCTCCTCCTCATCATCATCATCATCATCATCATCAGAATCATCATCAGCAGCATCATTATCATCATCATAATCAGCATCATCAGCATCATCAGCATCATCATCATCATCATCATAATTATGGTCATCATCATCATCACCATCATCAGCATCATCAGCATCGGCATCAGCATCAGCATCAGCATCATCAGCATCATCAGCATCATCAGCATCATCAGCATCATCAGCATCATCATCGTCATCGTCATCGTCATCATAATCCTCATCCGCATCCTCATCCTCCTCCTCATCATCATCATCATCATCATCATCTCATCACCATCATCGTCATCATCATCGTCAGCATCCTCACATCATCATCATTATCATTATCATGATCATCATCAGCATCATCATCATCATCATCAGCATCATCATCATCATCATCAGCATCATCATCATCACCATCAGCATCATCAACATCAACATCAACATCAACATCAACATCATCATCAGCCGCATCATCATAATTCGCCTGCCCAACGGGCCAGAGGCGTGCTGAGATCTCAGGTGACTGGTTAACAATATTTCTAGTTCGCGCGCGCGGGGCGGCCCCTGGGGGTCCTCTGGCGAAAAGTATCCCGACCGCAGCCCGAGCAGGTCTACTCAGAGATGGTGTTCCTCCTGGGTGTGGCTTCTCAGGCCCCCCAGAGCGCGCCCAGAGGGCCCCAAGAGGCCCCCAAGACTGCCCAAGAGGCACCCGAGACGCCCAAAGAGCGCTCCGAGACGCAGATGATGACCCCAAGACGGCCCAAGAGCCCTCCAAGTGGCCCCCAAGAGGCCTCACAAGAGGGCCCCGAAAGGCTAAACTCATAATCCCACCAGCCCTTTGGGCGTGAGTGGTTTAGGGAGCTCTCTCTGTTCTCAACCCCCCTTCTTCCCCTTCGGGGAGGGGTTTACCCCTCCCCCTACCCCCTCCCCCTGGGCCTGGAGACGGGGTGTCGCGGGTCGTCAGAGGGGTCAATTTCGACTCCTGGGAGGGCCAAAAAACGACGACCCTCACGAGGATTCTGGCCCCGACGGGGGGGCGGAGATAGGCCCCTTCTGCTCTTCTTCGAAGCCAAAATCATTGATTTTACTACGGTGCTGGCCCCATTTTGGCCTCCTGGGGGGGGGCGCGCTCATCTTCCTTCATAGCAAAACCATTGATTTTACGAAGGTTGTGGGCTCATGTTGTCCTTCTCAGGGGGCAGCCCTCATTTGCGCTTCTGAGGAGGTCGCAAGAGGCCCCAAGATGGCCCCAAGAGGCCCCCAGGAGGCTCCCAAGAGGCCTCCAAGAGGCCCCCCAGGGGCCCCCAAGCGGCCCCAAGAGGCCCCCAAGAGGCCCCCAAGAGGCCTCAAGAGGCACCAAGAGGCCCCCAAGAGGCTCCCCAGAGGCCCCCAAGAGGCCCCCAAGAGGCCCCAAGATGCTCCAAGAGGCCCCCAAGAGGCCCCACGAGGAGCCCGAACGACTCACACCAGGACGAGGGGCCCGAACGACTCACACCACGAAGAGCCCGAACGACTCACACCACAAGGAGGGGCCCGAACGACTCACACCAGGACGTGGCGCCCGAACGACTCACACCACGAGGAGCCCGAACGACTCCCACCAGTCGACATCGTCGTCGTCGTCGTCGTCGTCGTCGTCGTCGTCGTCGCCGCCGCCGCCTTCGTCGTCGTCGTCGTCGTCGTCGTCGACGACGTAGTCGTCGTCGTCGCGGTTGTGGTCGTCGTCGTCGTCGCGGTCGATCTCGTCGTCGTCGTCGGGTGCGTCGTCGTTGTTAGAATCATCGCTGTGGTCGTCGTCTCCGCTAAATCCCTCTTGCCTCCCACCGCTTTCTCTCCCTCCTCCTCCGCCTCGTCCTTCTCCCGCTCCCACCACGAGGAGGATGTACAAGGAGGCGGGAGAAAGGAGGAACAGGGGAGATATGCGGGGGCAGGCGGAAACACGCCTGAAAAACACGACTGTCGGCATGCTTCGCAAGAGTTGCTGTTTTGAGATGGGCTGGTGGGGATACGCGAAGCGTGAAGAATTTTCACTATGGTTTTGGAAGGAATTGGCCTTGTCGCCTGTTCGGCCATCCGATGCTCCAAGACGGCCCAAGAGGCCCCCAAGAACGCCCCAAGACGGGACAAGAGGCTCCCAAGAGGGCCCCAAGAGGGCCCCAAGAGGGCCCCAAGAGGGCCCCGAGACGGCCCAATAGGCGCCCAAGACGGCCCAAGGCGGCTCCAAGACGGCCCCAAGAGGGGCCCAAGAGGGGACCACGAACTGAAAACTCTAGACTTCCGCCCCAAGAGGGCCCCAGAAGGCCACGAGAGGCCCCCAAGAGGCCCCAAGATGCCTTTTTTTTTTTCCCCCCAGATCCAGCGCCGCGGACTCCGCCACGCTGGAGGCTTGCCGCACTGAGCTCAGTGCGGCCCCGCGAGGCCCGCGGGCCTCACCCACCTCTCCTCGTGGGCACCATCTCGGCGGGGAGCGGCCTGCCCGTCTGCGGGTGGCAGCCGCGGAGGATGCGGTCCCGCCTCTTCCTCCTGGAATCCGCTCCTCCGTCGGCCCCTCGCGGCGGCAGGGGCCCAGGGCAGGCGCGGCCCAAGCTGGCCCTCCTCACCGCCGAGTGGGCCCCGCACGCGCGGCAGACGACGTAGGGGCCGACGACCTCCACGACATGCGCCCTCCTGAGGTCCTCCTCAGCGCTCGGCGGGCCCTCGAGGACCGGCACGTCCACCGCCTCCCTGCATCTCCGAGGCGACCTCGACCTCCGAGGTGACCTCCCTGCAGCACTGCCGTCATCCCCCTCATCTTCGCCTGCAGCTGCCGCCGCCACCGCCACGCCGGCGCAGGCCGCCGCCGCCCCCAAGGCGCCGCCAGCCCCACGCCCTGCAGCCGTGGATGCCTCCTGGCTTGCCGCCCTCTGCCTCCGCGCGCATGCGGCTCCCACTCTAGCCTCCAGCGAGCCCCTCTCCTCGCTGGACTGGTGGCCCACCGCCTGCCAGGGAGGGGGTGCGCAAGCGGAGGCCCGCAGCTTCTTCCTCATCCTGGCCGAAGCTGCACGCTTGCCGCACCGCGTACACGCCAGCCAAGCTCCACACACCTCGACCTCGTGCCTCGTGAGGCTGACGTAGGGCCTCTGCTGCTTCCTCCTTCTGCTCGGCCCCGTCCTGGGCGGCACGTCGGGCCACCCTTCCTTCATCTCCTGGTACCACCAGCCGATGTTCTGGATGGCCCACTTCACCTTCTCGTCCAGGCTCTCCAGGGTCTGCTCCCTGCCGTACCCGAAGTCCTCCGCGGCCCCACGCTTGGCCAGGGCGTCCACCGCCTCATTGCCCCTGGCCACTTGCTGCGCCAAGCCCTCGAGCCTGCTGATGGCCGCTCTGGACCTGTGGGCCTTCACGTGCATCACCCATTCTGGCTCAAGCCCCACGTCCGCGATCTTGTGCCAGATCCTCCTCCAAACGTCCGCGTGCGGCCTTCCCCAGCTTAAACACCACCTCGGCCCCCTCCTGATGCCGTCAAGGATGCCCTGGTGGTCCGTGAAGATCCTGCACGGTGGCAGCACCGTCTCCAAGGTCTTCAAGAAGGCCCACATCTCGGCCCTCTTGACCGTCTTCTGCTCCTTGAATCGGCATGGCAGGGGGCCCCAGAGCTGCACCGTGGGAGC